AAGGTAGATTTATCTTTTTTCATTGGGTTAAAACAATCCCATTAGTTGTATCAAGGGGACTTTTGACCATGGGGTTAATTAATCAGTTTTCTGTCCCAATTTAAAAATGCAGAGAAGCCAAGTGGAAATGAAGCCATTGTGGCTCTTCTTTTCCACCTCCACCCCCCAACTATATGAGCATATGACAAAATGAGCAAAACCAAATGGAAAAAGATAAATCTACCTTAGACTGGGAAAACAGAAGGGTTATTAAGCACAGCAAACATCAGCATTGAGCTGGGGAGATATATAAGACATGCTTTATTGCAGCTTACTATTCTCTACGTGATGGTAAGATACCCCCTGCTTGCCTGCCGTCGCTATCACTATTCATCTTTTTCATCACTTAAACAATACCAAAATATGTTTTTAGCTCATAGGAGCCAGGATTATTTATTCATTTTTATTTATACTCTGCCCTACCTCGTCAGAATACTCAAGGTGGTTTCTAACAATCAAATGAAAATTAAATTAGAGTTAACTCTTCCATTTTAATCATTAATTCAAAAGAAAACAGTTCTAAAACATATTACAACTCAATTTAATATTCATTTTCAATAAAATATAGAAAATATTTGTGTCTGTGTCTGTGTGTGTGTGTGTGTGTGTGTGTGTGTGTGTGTGTGTGTGTGTGTGTTTAGTTTCGCAATGGGAGTTAAGGCCTTCCCTTCTGTTTGACCTCTTTGCTGCACTTTTTTCCGCTATAAGTGGAATATTTTCAAAAGATGGAAAACAGGGTGCCCAGTTCTGAGGAGACTCTTTTCAAACGAAGCTGTAAATCATTCAGTTGGTTCAATGTCACCAGGAATATGAGAGCTAGAAGGAGGTTATTTTTATTTTGTTAATTTAAATCTGAGAACAGAAGAAATAAGCGGCGGAATTAAGCTTTGAATGGTTTTGGTCAGTGTGTTATCTTGCTCTTAAATGCTATCTTTATGGATGGAATTTATGCAAGCCTTTTAAAATGAATGGATTAAGTTTTCTTCTTCTATATTTTTTTATTATTATTTTTGCAACCTATGGACAAATGAAAACAGTTTTGAATACTTGAGATGCATCAACTTGACTGATGACTATTTGGAGAAAAAAATTGATTCCAAAATCAAAAAGGCTAGCCAGGTCCTGGAAGAGCTGTATACTAGAGTACTTGATCATTACAATCTCTTTATCACAACAAGATTCAGGGTTTCACAAGTTTATGCTAGCACAATGAAAAGACATGGACTTTGGGGAGAGATTTATTAATATGATTAAGGTGACATACTACAAGCAAAGTGCAAAGGTGATGGTAAATGAAGATATGACTGAGAAGGTTATCATTAAGAAAGGCCCAGACAAGGATGCCCCTTGTCTCTGCTATTATTTGTATTGATACTGGCAGTATTAAATAGAAACATCAGACAAGATACAGAGATAAAAGATATGGAAATAAAAAAGGAAAAGAATAAACTGCAAGAATTTGTAGATGACTTCAGATGACTTTGTAGGAAGATCTACAAGAAACAGGGCCTAAATTAATAAAAAAAATAGGAGAATATTTAAAAGTGGCAGGACAGAAAATAAATAAAGAGAAAACTAAGGTTTCTTCTTCCAGGTTTCCCAAGGCCTCCCCCACCCTGAGTAACTCTGCTTTCTGCTTCCTGTCCCCAATGGAATGCCCCATATCTTTTGATCTTGTTTTGTCTGCTGGGCCTTCCCCCCCCCCCAAATAACTAGGTACCTACATGACTTTTTCCCATCCCCAAGTTTTCACAAGGGTTGGGCTTCTTCCCATCCCCCATCACCTTTTGTGCATTTTTTTTGAAGACCTCCAAGGCTTCTGAGTTTTCTGCAGAGCTGTGCAGATTACATTAGGAAAGTAGGACTTCCAGTGAAGATGGCTGACTGATGACTAGATGAGAGAGATTCCCTGAGGGGGTTTTCTCTGGATTATGGTGTTTTCAACTTACTAACGAAGGGAACAGGCATTCCTTCATTTTATTATGATTCTTCTGCATTACGGAGAGTCGTAGAATCACCCCACATGACCCTCCATACAGCAGAGGTCTGCAGGAAGCCTCAGGAGCTGTGCTTTGAAGCAGTCAGAGCGCCGCTCACTTCATTGGTGAAAAATCAGCCATTTTGGAATTTGTTTTTCAAATGGACACTAAGTCACACTTTTCATTTCTTAATCACTTTCTGGGATCATTATCTTTATTAGCTAAAAGATGCTCCTTTTTTGTCACAGCCTATTACTCCTTTTTGAGATTTCTTTATTGTTAAACAAGGAAGAGGTTTTCTGGAGGCCAGATAAAATAAGAAAGTATACAATTAAAAAAGGCTGAGTGATTGTTGT